GGAAAACACAACAATGACAAGAACTAAAACTGCTGCAGCAATGAGGCCCATAACAGAAGCTGAAACCTCGAGGCCTAAACGTGCTAAACAACAACAGCAAGAGGAAGAAGAAGAATCTGATTTTGGGGATGCAGAAATTGAGCATGAAGACGATCATGAAAAATTCGATGATGGGCCGATAAGGTATGTGTATTCCCCTTACTTAATTCGTACTTAAGACTATTATATTTCATAGATACGTTTTTAGATTTCATAGATACGTTTTAGGTTTTGGCATGGATTGTATTTAGGGTTTCATGTATTGGGGGTTTTGGCTGGCTCGGCTTGTTAATGGTTCGTTGGGGTTTGTCTAGATGCCTGGGATTCGTTTTCATGGTTGTGTGATGGATACGAGTGTTGACGGGTTTGGGTATTGCCCTGGTGTGCATGATTACTTTTTTGGGTAACCCAATTTTATTTTTTTGCTTATTTGTCTGGATCTGGATTGCTTGTGTTCTGGGTTTTGTGTATCTGCAATCCGATATTAGTTCTGTTGCAGTAGGATATTTGTTTTCATTTGCTTGGATATTTATTTGGTATATCTAGATATCAGTTGTGAATTGCCTGGATATTTGTTTGGTATATCTGGATATCAGCTGTGAATTGCCTGGATATCTGTTTGGTATATTTAGATATCAACGGTGAATTGTATGTATAGTTTTTTGACGAATTTGGATATTCTACTGTACAGGGAAAACACAACAATGGCAAGAACTAAAGCTGTTGCAGCAATGAGGCCCAGAACAGAAGCTGAAACCTCGAGGCCTAAACGTGCTAAACAACAACAGCAAGAGGAGGAAGAAGAATATGATTTTGGGGATGCAGAAGTTGAGCATGAAGAATCTGTTTTATGGGACTATAGCAGTCGGTCCGATGAAAATTCAAGGTGCAAAAGATTGGAATGCGAAGAAAGAGAAAGAAAAAGGGAAAAGGAAGAGAAGTTTATTGTAGACTTGTGTAGTGTGATATTGGTTTGTAAAACTGAACTTAGGGTTGGATAATATTTAGGGATGGATGATGGTTTGTAGCAGGATGGAAGATATTTTGCCATATGTTGGATATAATTACCAACATAAGTTCTGATTGAAAAATATTTTGTAACCTCCCAGGTAAATATCTGTCTTTTTGTAGACTAATATCCTTAAAGAACAGACAAATATCCATACACCCCAGACAAATACCTTCTTTATTTAAATAAATATCAACAAATCACAGACAAATATCAGAAAGACCCAGACAGATATCCGAAAGACCCAGACAAATATCCGAAAGACCTAGACTAATATCAATAGAGCTCAGACTAATGTCCTTAAGGCCCAGACCGATACCCTTCTTTTGTAGACTAATATCCTTGGAACCCAGACTAATAGTAGATAAAGATGGATAACACTTTGAATCAGAAATAGAAACAAACTCAAAACAATACAAAGTGATGACAGGAAATACTAATTCATTTCTTCATGGTCTCCTCGGTGTTATCTTCATCATCCGTGTGAAAACCACACCCGTTATTATTGTCGTACTCGTACATCCGACATCGGAAATACCTCTTCGGTGGGTTGACTCTATCAACAACAAGTCGTTTAGCGGCTCTCCAACCATGATAACAGAGTATAACACCATCATATTCGAACTCATCCACCAATCCCCGACGCGCTGGTTTAGGAGTCTCTCCAGACATGGATTTTGCTTTGGAAGAGAAGTGAAGAAGAAACTGAGAGAGGAGGATAGCCGATTTGGGTTTGTGTATGATTTGTCTTAAATAGACAAATGCAAAAAAGGTCACATGAGTACTGTAACAAAAAAAGGTCACATGTTAATAGTGAAATAAGTAATCATTGGTACTATTGTACCTACTTTGAAAATATTGATATTAAGGAAGCCCAGACTAATATCTGTACATAATAAAGTACATATCAAGTTTGCCCAGACAAGTATCCTTTACAAGTGGATTAATATCCACTACACCACAAAAATGTATCCTGGAATCACATGTCAATATCATATCACAATAGACCACTCTCGAACCACCCTACATTCTATTCATAACCATTTCTGTAACATACATACAAACATTCATGCACAAAGACAACTATTAATGACAATTCATAACCGAACGGGTGTTGAAAAACTCAAGTGAATTAGGTGATTACTCTTCTACTATGATTGTTTCATAGGCCTTCGGCCCCTGTGCCCTCGGCGGGCAGCCCTAACTAAGGTTGCAAGCCTTATGTGTTAGGACTTTCTAGTGTGCAAATACTTGTCAACAAATATATGTAAAGCCCAGACTAGTATCCCTTAAAAACGGACTAATATCCTTCCAGTTAGAAAAACATATCCCGTCATCACATGTCAATATAAGATTACAACATACCACTCTCGAAGAAAGAGAGTTGGGTGGTTGGGCATTTAATGTCATTCCTCCTTTCCATTTTTTCGTTTTCTTTTCCCCATTGTAAATCAGATGTAGGGACCCACTTTTCCATCTGCCTTCTCCCGCCCAAAACAGCCACCTTCCTTCTGTCAAAGTAAAAGGCCCACCAGCAACCAATTAATAAGCTCGGCGATTTTGACCATTGGATCGCAGCTGTAGAGACGTGGCATAAATCCGGTCCGTGTTAGTATTTGCTAACAAAAACACTTGTTAGCAGTTTTAACTTTTGCGTACCTCTCTCCATCAGATCTCCGTTGTTATCAGTCCCTCTCACCAGTCACCAATGGCGGCGACTTCATCCGCCCTCTCCATTTCCCCCAACCTCCACAGCCACCGCCGCCACCACCACCGGACCCCTTCCGGCATCCACTCTCCAAAACCCACTCCCCATTTTATCTCAATAACCAGACCCAGAGCCTCTGTTTCCTCTTCTCCCTCCTCCGATCCTTCCAAAACGACGTCCACCACCACAACCAATCCGACGAAAGGCTCCAGCATCCGTGACGAGGCCCGCCGCCACAACCTCGCCCACCCACAACCATCCAACAATTTCTCCGCCAAGTACGTACCCTTCAATGCCGGACCCAACTCCACCGAGTCCTACTCGCTCGACGAGATCGTCTACCGATCCCAATCCTTCGGTCTGCTCGACGTCCAGCACGACATGGAAGCTCTCAAGGCGTTTCCAGGTTCTTACTGGAAGTCCCTGTTCGATTCCCGCGTCGGGAAGACGACCTGGCCTTACGGATCAGGGGTTTGGTCGAAGAAAGAGTGGGTGTTGCCGGAGATTTCGAGCGACGACATTGTGAGTGCTTTTGAAGGCAATTCGAATCTGTTCTGGGCGGAGAGGTACGGGAAGGAATTTCTGCAGATGAGTGAGCTGTGGGTCAAGCATTGTGGGATCAGCCATACGGGGAGCTTTAAGGATTTGGGGATGACTGTATTGGTGAGTCAGGTGAACAGGTTGAGGAAGATGAAGAAACCGGTGCACGGAGTTGGATGTGCTTCCACCGGCGATACTTCTGCTGCTTTATCTGCTTACTGCGCTTCAGCTGGTATTCCTTCTATCGTGTTTTTGCCTGCTAATAAGATCTCCATGGCTCAACTGGTTCAGCCCATTGCTAATGGAGCGTTTGTGTTGAGCATAGATACAGATTTTGATGGTTGTATGCAACTGATTAGGGAAGTTACAGCTGAATTGCCTATTTACTTAGCTAACTCGCTGAATAGTTTGAGGTTAGAAGGACAGAAAACTGCTGCAATTGAGATACTGCAGCAGTTTGATTGGGAAGTCCCTGAATGGGTCATTGTTCCTGGTGGTAATTTGGGCAACATTTATGCATTCTACAAAGGATTCCACATGTGTAAAGAACTAGGGCTTGTTGATAGAATCCCCAGGCTAGTCTGTGCTCAAGCTGCAAATGCAAACCCTCTTTACCTGTACTACAAATCCGGTTGGAAGGATTTCAGCCCCGTGAAGGCCAATAGTACCTTTGCATCCGCTATTCAGATTGGGGATCCAGTTTCGATCGATAGAGCTGTTTATGCTTTGAAGAAGTGTAATGGGATTGTCGAGGAAGCTACCGAGGAGGAACTAATGGATGCCATGGCGCAAGCTGACTCTACTGGGATGTTCATATGCCCTCATACGGGCGTGGCCTTGACTGCACTGATTAAGCTTAGGAAGGCTGGGATCATAGGTCCTAACGACCGGACTGTGGTGGTGAGTACTGCGCACGGGTTGAAGTTCACGCAGAGCAAGATCGACTATCACTCGCGTGATATCAAAGACATGGCTTGTAGGTTTGCTAATCCGCCTGTGAGCGTGAAGGCGGATTTCGGTTCAATAATGGATGTTCTGCAGAAGTATCTGTCGAGTAAATCTCATTAGGCAGGGCGATTGTTCACTATCTGTCCAGTAGTTTTGGATAGTGCTTCTTTTCTCTCCGGGTCATTTGTTCAGTAGACGTTGGGACTTGGGGGGCCACTTAATCTTTTTAGCGAGCATTGATGTAACTTTTGAGGATTTTTATGCTGTCTAGAGTTGCCTACTTTTCACACACTGAAGAAGTTGATGCTTTTGAGTATCTAAATCTGTTCTTTCCATATTTGTTTTTGGCCATTTTGGGGTGTACTTTGTCTGTTATAGCCTGTAGGGTTGATCAAAGATGGATTAGTGAGAGACATTTGAGTTAGTAACAATGTTCATTAAGATAGAATTCGTCAAGAATTGAAGTACGACGAGATGAAAGGAAGATCCATATCCCGTTATTTCCGAAATGTATTGGCACGAATAGGCATTTTAAGTTTCAACACTTCGAAAGTAATGCCGTATCAGCATTACTACCAAAGACAATTATTAGCATGCCTGTGATAATGGAAGAAGTTTACATCGTTAATCTTACAAGTGAAGCTACGTCGATATAGGTATTGCATAATTGCAATGGACATTTTGATGCCACTTAAGACTTCAATCAGACAATCAACTGGTGCTCTATATAAAATAACTGGAAAAGGATATCGTTCATTGGACATTCAAAGACACGGGAAAGCAGTTTTGTTGTATAGCAATGTGCCATCACAAGTCAAAAAGTCAATCAAAAGTATGAAATCAGTAGTCAATATATTTTTTTTCCCCTTAATTCTATGGTGCTTAAGTAGTCTCCAACTTGAGAGAGTTCTTTTCTGAGTAGCGAGGAGCCATAAGAAAATGGAAAAGAAGCAGCAGAAGAAGATCATGGAGCAAGAGTTCAAGGGCCAAACGAGGTTACCCAAATTTGCAATCCCAAAAAGTTACAATCTTTACCTTCAACCTGACCTCTTCGCCTGCAACTTCTCTGGTACTGTAGAAATCAGGCTCACCATCACTGAACCCTCAAGCTTTATGGTTTTGAATTCCCTTGAACTCAAAATTCATGAAGCTTCCTTCACCAGTGAGTCTAATAACCAGGTTAGTATACAGTATACTTGCAGCATATTACTATCCATTGCAATACCAACTTGGTTAGTTGATTGCAGTTTGTAAAGATCATCTCTTTTGTGATTTGACTGCTACAGAAGTACCTTCCATTTGATGTTCTGGTGGATGATGAAGATGAGATACTTGTGTTGCCCTTCGACGTACCGATTTCAGTTGGCGATGGTGTCCTTAAGATTGACTTCTCTGGGTCGCTTAACGAGCATCTGAGAGGGTTTTACAGATGGTAAGTCTCTCTTTCGGTTTGTGATCATATCATCCCTGTTGCACTGAATCCCATAAGAACTTCAAAATTCGTCAATCATGATGCTTGAAGCAACTTGGCTGCTGTTTTTGTTTTCCCCGAACAGCACTTATTTGGATGGAGAAACAAAGAAGAACATGGTGGCAACCCAGTTCGAAGCTGTGGATGCTAGGAGGTGTTTCCCATGCTGGGATGAACCTGCTCTTAAGGTACTCATCTGGTTATTTTGAAATTCACCGTTCATCTTGGAACGACTTATCAATCTCTAATTTCATCACAGGCAACTTTCAGGGTAGCCATAGACGCTCCAGTGGAGCTAACAGCATTGTCAAACATGCCGGTTGCTGATGAAACGATTCATGGGAATATCAAGACAGTTACTTTTCAGGAATCTCCCCTCATGTCAACTTATTTAGTAGCCGTTGTCCTTGGTGTATTTGATCATGTTGAACAGACAACCTCAGATGGTACGCAAAAGATTCCTGGAATAACCTTTCTGTATGAAGAATCGGATTTGTTTCATGAGGTCTCCTTGAATGGATTGACTATTTGCAGGGATTAAGGTTCGCGTATATTGCCCTAAAGGGAAAAGAGATGAAGGGACATATGCTCTTAGCCTTGCTGTGAAGTCGCTTGATCTGTTTAGTCAGTAAGTGATGACCCCTTCTTTTTTATTGCTGTTCGAATGAATGATTTTTATGGATGTAATTTCTGACATGGCTAAAATGAGACATTTTGAACTTTTAGATACTTCTCAATGGCATATCCACTTCCCAAGCTTGATATGGTTGCTGTCCCTGAGTTTTCTGGTGGAGCTATGGAGAACAATGGTCTCATAATCTTTCGCGAGAACGAGTTACTTCAGAATGACCTGATATCTTCAGCTTCCAGGAAGCAAAGGGTATTTGATTAGGCTTCAAAATTAGACCCAATGATTCCGAATGGTTTGAAAACGTGAAAATATGACCTGTCTTTTTTCTTTGTCTGTTGCAGTTGGCAATTGTTATGGCACATGAAGTAGCACACCATTGGTTTGGCAATCTGGTTACAATGGAATGGTGGACTCATTTATGGCTTAATGAAGGCTTTGCAACCTGGGTATTATATATTCTCCATCTCTCTTTGCAGTGATTTTCCATGTTTTCTTCTTGGCTGATGAGTTCTTTGGTTTTCATTGACAGATAAGTTACCTAGCAACAGACATTATGTTTCCGGAATGGAAAATATGGGCTCAGTTTCTTCAAATGGTCACGAGTGGCCTACGGATTGATGCACTTCAAGGATCACATCCAATTGAGGCATGACAAGGATTAAGTAATCACACTCCATTGAAGTAATAATATTGTGGTGTTTTCTTTAACAAGTTGCAACCTTTCTGTACTCACAGATAGAGGTGAAGTATGCTCGGTTGGTGAACGAAACCTTCGACGATGTCTGCTACAAAAAGGGTTCTTCTGTTGTCAGAATGCTGCAGGGCTATCTTGGAGATGCCATTTTTCAGGTGATTGGGAAGTTATTTGAGGATGTAATCGTTTTGTTACATAATTTTATATGCTTAACTGTATCGTGTTATGGACTTTTAAACCAGAAATCCTTGAGTGCATACATGAAGAGATATGCTTGGGGAAATGCCAAGACAGAAGATTTGTGGAGTGTTCTGTCAGAAGTGTCAGGTGTTCGGGTAAACTCGATGATGGACAGTTGGACAAAGCAGAAAGGATATCCAGTCATCTCTGTCAAACTTAAAGATCAGTTCTTGGAATTTGAACAGGTTTGGAAACCTCACACATTTAAGTGTATGTCATGTACTCATTGATGAACTTGATTGAAACCCGATAGTGGCCTACGACCTGCAGGCTCAATTCTTATCATCGGGGCAAGCTTCCAATGCTGCTAACTGGATAGTTCCAATCACCTTGATCCTTGGATCTTACAAGAGAAGGAAGACATTCTTGTTGGAAACAGAAGTTGGAAGGTTTCACCTGTCTGATCTTGATCAGTCCTCCAATGGAGATCCAATCTCATTTGGTGAAGATCTATGGATCAAAGTTAACGTCGAGCAAAGTGGGTTCTACAGAGTGAAATATGAAAACAAACTGTCAGCAAGGCTGAAGAAGGCTGTAGTGGACAATCAGTTATCAGCAACAGATAAATTTGGTAAGTATAGCATCACACTGATAAGCATTTAAAGGTACAGTCTTTCTTATTCTCTATCTTGACAAAATCTTGCGCTTTGAAATATTGATTCCAGGAATTCTGGATGACGTATTTGCTCTTTGTGAATCTTGTGAACTTCCATTATCAAATTTGCTGTCCCTCATGGATGTGTACAGAAAGGAGCTTGACTATGCCCTTCTGTCAAGACTCATGGATGTAATCCCACTGAACTTGCTTTCTCTTTGCCATTGACTATGCATGGATGAATTCATGATCACCAATTCCGCTGAACAGATATGTTACAGCATTCTAGAGGTCTCCACAGATGCCATCCCGGGTTCAGTCAATGATCTGAAAGCATTCTTCATCAGTCTCCTCCAATTCTCTGCAGGGTAACAGGCATCATCCATCGCTTCGCCTAATCCTGATGAGGTTAGGATTTCAAAATTCCTCAACAACCCTCCTTAACAAAGGTTTCCTCTATCTTTTGGGCTTGAGGCAGGAAACTGGGGTGGGAATCAGTTCCAGGCGAGAGCCATTTGGATGCTCTTCTGAGGGGAGAAATTCTCCTTACATTGGCTGTTCTAGGACATGATGGAACCATCAACAAGGCAATGAACCGATTCGAGGCTTTCTTAAATGACAGAAACACACCCTTCCTTTCAGCTGACACAAGAAAGGTATCATTTGGCCTCACTCCTTGTGATGGCAAGCTGAATTACAATCGGATTATCTGATGGGGCGAATTTTTCTGCAGGCTGCATATGTTGCTGCAATGAGGAATTCGAACAGCACGAACACAAAGAGAGACGGGTTCGAGTCATTGCTGAAGATCTATAGAGAATCTGATGCAGTCCAAGAGAAAGAACGTGTCTTGCGTTAAGGACAATAAACTTTTACTCTAGACTAAAGATTGATTAGTATCACCATTTTCCCTTAAGGCCATCACCATTGATCATAGTCTTCTATATTTCTGATTGCGCGCAAATGCAGGCTGCATAGCGACTTCATCAGATCCAGAAGTCGTCGAAGATGCCCTCAACCTGTTAGTGTCTGATGCAGTAAGAGATCAAGATATAGTCTATGGATTGGCTGGAATAAGCCTAGAAGGCCGTGAAATGGCATGGAGATGGCTGAAGGTCTTTGATACATGTCCAATCTCTGATCTTTCTTTTTTTAACCAAAATTTTCGTGGTGATTCTCATCTTTTCGACATTTTTGGTTTGCTGGGGTACCCAGGAGAAGTGGAGCTTCATCTTGAACAAGTATGGTGATGGATTGTTGATCACGCATTTTGTCAGAGACATAATCTCACCTGTAAGTGAAAGCAGTGCTATTACATATGCTCAAATGGTCACTAAGCTATAGAACTTGTAACAAAAGGAAAAGGGTCAATGAGCCAGAAAAAGCTTAACGACATGATAATTAGGTTGTGACGAAAGAACTTTCTCAATCTTACCCCTTTTGAGACTTCAGTTCGATTAAGGTAGCATGTCAAATAGGACCACCTAGTCACTAAAATCAACACCCCATGAACCCTGTTCACCTTCCCTTTCCTTTCCAACTTGAACATGGCCCTCAAACCTAATTCTCAACCCAACTTCAAATCCATCCTCGAGTTAGAAATGGCTTGGTCTAGTGGGCGTGGGAAGGTGTTTGATTGAACAATTTAGGTGACATAACAAGTCTATTTGACCATGTCAATTTAGCAGAATGAATGATATATTAGAACCAATGAGATAACGACCTTTTTTTTTTACTATTAATTGCATATTTTAATCAAAATTTCGTTAAGATTTTTTATCTAGTAACCATTATGACCGTCATAGTCTAGTGACCATTTCGACAATCAAGCCCAAATTGATGTTTGCTAGATTAATCCACAGTTAAAGGTTTTGTCCAAGGAAAATAAGATCACACATAACACATCTCGATCATGGTGGCTGATTTGGTTTTGTGGTTGTCAGTTTTGCAGCCACGAAAAGGCCGACGAGATCGAGACATTCTTCACAGAGCACGGGACAGGAGCGATCGAAATGAATTTGAAGCAGAGCATAGAGAAAGTGAGAATCAAAGCCAGGTGGGCTGAGAGCATTGTGAAGCAAGAAAGCTCCATTGAAGAACTTGTCCAACAACTTACCTACAGCAACAAGTAAACTATAATATACAATAATAATGTGGGGGGAGAGGTTGGTCATTTTGGTTTGGTTATTAAGTTAGCCTTGAATTTATAAACGTTTTGGTGACACATTATTATTATTGTTATTGTATGGTCAAAAGCAAAACATGGAAACTGTGTGGAAAAAAGGTTGTCTCCAACCTGGTTTTGATGGGAACACTGTTGTAATTGATTGCAAGGCAAGTCATTGGCTGGGTTGGGTTAGAATCAAAACCAACCATATTTCCATGTGTATTGTATATTATTTTTCAATTTTAATTAAGACTTTGTAGCTTTTCATGGTTAAGACATCCTTCCATGTTCTTAGCCACCTTCTTTGGTCTGGATTTGATTAATTTGGTTAATCAATTAGATGATTGCATTATTATATCATCATAGATATTAGGATGAGGCTTAATGGCATCCAAAGTAAAAGGAGTTCGATTAGATGCCTTTCTTCTTTTCTCTTTCCTTTGCTAAAGACATCATTAGACATATAACGTTAATATTTTATTAACCCAATAACACAAGTTCGAGCAACAATACAAACAAGTACTATTAAATCGATTATGACTCAAATAAAGTAATTTTTGAGGCATCGTTACAAACTCAAAATGACGATTTTGAGCTCATGAGACTTTCTATCCTCCCTTGTTTTGTATTGTAAGAAACAACAAAGATAATTATCTCTAAAGACATTAAGAAATAATAATGTTTCGAGTGTTTGACTTCCACAAAAAAAATTATGTCGTTGAAAAAAACATAAATCATTAAAATAAATTATATTTTCTTACAATATATGCAATACAAACATCATCACAAACCTAGGGTGATGAAATTCGCAAGACTTCCAATCCTTCCTCATTTGTCAACAACCATCATAAGAACCTTACAAGAAGTTACCTATAACGAGAAGAAATAAACGAACTAGACAATCGAAATTATGTCACCAAAAAAAGTCAAGAACTTAATTGCATTCACTTCAAATCGGTTTAATGCAGTCAAAACAATGTACAAAATACAAATTTCTCAATATTCTTTTGTTTTAGGTTGATTATATTTATATACTTCAATCTTCAAAAGAAATTCCATATCTCTGTATATTCTTTTTATCTTTTATATCTTAATCCATATAGTATAAGTCAGAACTCAAAGAGGGGCAGTGTGCAACTCACATTCACAAATCCTCACCAAACAAAAAAGAAAAGAAAAATTAAATGAAAAAAATAAACAAATCCAATCTAAACATAAAAAATGTGGGGTGAAAAGAAAGCAAACAAGCTTCAAATTGGGCCTTCTCCTGCTCCTGGGCCGAGATTAGACTTCACCTTCTCCAACGTTAGACCAGCTCTAAACCTGGCGATGAAGTTATCGGCCTTGGTGTCCACGTCGGGACTCGGGCAGAACAACGGCGATCCCGCCGCCGCTGCCGGCGATCCACCGGCCATCGGACTAGACTCCCTGTCGGAGGGATCCTCACTATCCAAATCAGGTGATCCACTTCGCGAGCTGTTGAAGCTGGCTACTCTGACGTAATCACCGCGAACTTCGAACCTCCACGCTGGCATCTTGAACGGCGGCGGTGGAGGCGGAGGCGGTATCGGAATCAATGGCGACGCGTTCCCTGGCTCCTCTCGGTTCGAAATTATGTATGCAGGAACCTGAGCTCGTTCCGATTTGGCTCGGGATACGGACGGATGGTCCATTGAGCGCTGGACGCTTCTGGAGAGGTGGACTTCTGTTGAATCAGCAGCTCGTCGACGAGGTGGAAGGGGTGGCGGCGGCGGAGGAGCGAGTGAGACTGAGTGGACTTTTTTGGACTTTCCTCTCCTAGGAGAAAACAGATTTTGCAGGAAATGTTGCGGCGGAGGCGGCGGGGGAGGAGGCGGTGGCAGAGGCGACGGCGGCGGAATGGAGGATTCGGGTTGAGTCGGGGGAAATTCGGCCTCCGGATCAAATAAGCTCGCGAGATTGTCGACGCTATTTTGCCTCTGCTTCTTCTTCTTCTTCCTTCTCAGAGAAATCAAGAAATCCTTACTTGTCTTCTTCTTCTTCTCTGGAGGCGGAGGCGGAGGAGGAGGCGGAGGCGATGGTGGCGGCAGATAGACGTACTTGACTTCTTCCACCACAGTCTTTTCTTCCTCTTCTTCTTCTTTAATGCTCTCCACAAACTCCGGTCGATTAACATTCCTCTTAACTCTCCTTCTACTAACAGCCTTCTGCGGCGGAGACCGAGACGACGACGGCGGCGGTCGTTTGTAGAAATCTTCAATGTCCATCTCTCTCTCCTCGCGGCCATCGCTACTTCTCGATTGACCGACGGATCGATACGTCCTCTGCACTTTCCTCTTCGCCGCTTTCGCAGGCGGTGGCAGCGGCGGAGATGAAGGAGCGGGCACAGGCGGAGACGGCAGATCCACCGGAAGCAGAGGAGGAGGCGGATCTGACGGATCCGCCGCCGCCATCACTTCCTCCTCCTTTACCTCCTCCTTCACTACCGTAACCGTATCCACCGCAATCTCCTTCTCTTTCTCGCTCTCCTTCACATCCGCCACCGGCATTTCTTCTTCCTTAGCAACCTCGCGGTGGCGGAGGATTTCATCGGAGGAAGAGGAAGGGAATCTGTAACTGTAATCCCTAATGTGCGTATCATCATAAAACCGCCACCGATCATCTCCAGCAGCATCACCACCGCCGCTCCACAACGATTCCTGCCTCAGATCTGGATACGAATTGATGCTCCTCAGTCTACTCATACCTCCACCGCCAGCAGAGTGATTAAATCGATCCTGATACCGCTCGTAATCACCGAGTCTCCGCTGCGGCTGCGGCTGCGATATCTTCTCCGCTAGAGCCGATTGCTGAAACCTCCGATGATCCTCATAGTAACTAGAGCTAACAGCAGTCCTTGCGGCGGAAGCGGCTGGCTCGTAGCTGCCGCTGCTGCTCCGCTGGACGCCGTTTCGGCTCAGGAAGCCGCAGATGATGGCGAAGAGGACGAGAACCAGGTTCAGCGAGTCCCAGGATTTCTTCACGGAGTGAGGTCTCAAGATTTGGGAGGTGTAAGAGAGGAAGGAAGGGATGATTAGGAAGATTAAGAGGCAAGCGATTAGGAGGAGGAGAGTGAGGAGGAGGCCGGAGTTGAGGAAGATGGAGGAGAGCTGGCGGCGACGGCGGAGACGGCGGTGCCCGTCGGCGGTTTGGAGCCAGAATGGCTCTGCAAGGTCTTCGTCGTCTTCCATTGCCAAAAGAGTACGGAGGAAGGAAAAGTGTGGGGGAAATGAAGCAAGACGGGTTGGAAATGAGCTTTTTTTGTTGGGCCTTTTGGTACTGGGGGCAGAGACGGAGAAATTTCTTTGTTGTGGTTTCCTTTCTGAGTTTTCTGCTTTTGCCTTTTGGTGAATGCTTGTTTATTGTTGGTGCAAATTAGTGATGAGTTCTTTATGAAGAGGGGGAATGGTATGCTTTTGCCTATTTATAAGACAACAACTTGAGAGTTGAGAATGAATGATTGGTCAATTACATGAGTGGTCATTGAACTTTGGGGGTCATTTTGCTCAATTATTATATTTTTGATTTTTAACTAACTTATCACTGAACTTTTAGAACAATCAACAGAAGAATCCTTCCATCTATCCAGAACATGTCAACTAATTTGACTCGGCAGGGATTATGACTTACGAGGGTGGTGTTGGGTACTGCGGATTGGAATTTTGTTGAGCAGAGTCTTTAATTTGGGTTAATTTTGAGATCAAACGAATCGTCCGCATCAGCGGAAAAATGTATGTTTTGTTATTTGATATGAGTAAGTTGTGTATGCTAATATGCATTGTTTAGTTCGTAGTAGATAAAAGTTCTATGCCCTGTTTGAAACCAGATAGTTTAGATACTGATTTTGAGAGACGATGAGCGATGTAGTTATTATGTTAGTTATCTTAAATTATGAAGGAGAAATTTGTTAAAAATAAAAGTTGAGGGACCAATATGTGAATGGCCCTACAGTCTTGCTCACGACTACTTCTTTTGTACATCCATAAATATGTTTTTATTAAATTAAACGTACATCTTTATTAGAGAAGAAAACATGAATGAATGAATAAATAGATGATGGTGGAGGATTAGTGGATTAACTCGGGCAAGGGATGGTATGCTATTGCTATTGGAGTTGTTAATTGAAAACTTGTGTAATCAAATCATATCCAGGGCGGGCCAGGGTCCGCTTTCTTGTTCTTCTACTTTTTAGGTGCGAGGGGGGCTGGTCTTTCTTTAATATAGTTTGAATTTTGTTACTTGAGAAAATCAACATATTACATTATTTATTTGCTGAAGATAATTTTATTTTCCCGGTAATTGTGTTGTTTGCGGAAGGTAATTTCTTTCTTGATACTTTTACAATCCTGTGTATTCGTGTTACATAGTAGGCGGATTGTTGTGGAATTCTTTTGAGTTTTGAGCAAAGTAAGTAGGGAAAGTCAATCAGACACTCATGAAGAAGATATTTTACATACAAGTGACATACCGTATCTATTACATCATTCCAACAAAAGTCGATCAGACACTCATTAAGAAGATATGCAAACTAAACATTTAGATGAGTCATCCAAAAACAAATGTCTCTCATATGGTAAAAGATTTCACAGGAAGGAATCGAGCACTACATAATAATCTATAGATTAAACTAGGCTGAACCATGCCCGTTGAACGTTCTAATTTCAAAAATATTGAGTCTTGCAGAGTTTGTATTTCGATATTCTATCATATTTGTACCTATCAATGCAAAATATTTTAAACTCTTTTTAGACATGATCAACAATATCATAAAATAGTTTTGAATAGGTTGGGCAAAACATGTTAACTTTCTTGTCTTGAAATGGTTTTTGACATGATCAATACAAGATATTTTTACTTTCTTTTAGACACGTTCTCACTCTTTTTTTTTTCCCAATTTCCTGTTATTCTTAATCAACCCGTACTTCTTTCATTCAGCCATGCACTTAGATATTTTTGCATAATTTTTTTTATCTGATCTCCATAACAATATTTAGTTTGATATATATTTAAATAAAAAATCCAAAGACATAGTCACAATCATGATTACATACTGAAGGGTCACATGCATATTCGATAGAATTACTAAACTATGTAATTACTAAGTTATATTCAATATCATTCAGTTTTGTAGCAACATAATATACAATAATTTCATTAGTGTAAAAAATATAATAGTTACAAAGAAGTATTCCGGCCAACTGACCACACTCAAAGCTAATATTTTTGTAGATAGATAGGCCAATAAATGAATTCATGAATAACTGCGTAAACAGGTACACCGTGCGTCAGAGACACACAATTGATATGAATTTCTTAGAATAGTAATGAAAAATGAAAAGCATAATTATGGGGAAGAGAAGGCCAAAGAGTAAGTTTGGATATATGATTAATATTATTATCCATACACGTACATATATGCAGAATATATATGCGCTGGCTGTCATTTGTGAGAATGACAGCGAAAGCTGGAATTGTATAAATGCAGCTGTTGCTGTGTTGTTGGTTTCATAAACCGTGTATAGTAGTAGTCTTTGTCAATCTTTGTTCTACCCCATACATTACCAATAAACCTCTCCATGAATTCAGTGATCCTTTTGGATTAGGTGTGATTTGGGAAAAATAAATTGACTTTCATTTACAAGCATTTTACCTCTATAAAGGCCTATGAGCTAGGCTCCTTGCCTTGTAGCTTCACTAATTATGACGATATATATGCAATATGTTGAGTTGATATGAATTGAATTGGATTATTTGATCGACAATATTGATGATATGTCCACGAAATCGGTTTCCACATATGGTCAGTTCAAACACTGTTTGAACTTGCTGAATGTTCTGGGCTCGGCTGAGGCCCTCTGGGGAGTTGAGACAGGGGAGAGATCATATACAAGTACATATGAGATTTGTAGTGAAGATTCAAGCAAGGGTTGAGATGTGTTGATATGACTTCAATATGTGTGTTTTTTATTTTCTTGCATTGTCGATTATATCTCGATCCATTCTTAACATGTTGAACTTGCATTGTCGATTATATCACGATCCGTTCTTAACATGTTGAACCACATGGGGGTTGCTGATTAAATTTCCGTACATATATACATGACGATCCTTATAAAGGATCACAATTAGATGTATTGGTTGTATTAAATACATCTCTATAATGCAAGGTTGTCCAACCGGTTTCAATCATTATGCCAGTTTCGGGTATGACTTGATCGGGGTACAACCATAGGCGGAGACAGTTTTATTGGGCATTGTCTCAAGAAAAGGGTAAATTTTGAGGGGAAAAAAACTCCATATATGTATATACGAAGGATGAAACACAATACCCACTACAACGTATATCGTTACTATATCACAACTCATTATTTGATCATATATTGACATTAAATTAATTTATTATACAATAAACAAAATCTCAACTGGAATAAATCTCTTTTCTTTATATGCCTATTCGATTATAATACAAAAAGAGGACAGGGGTAGTTTCAAATCCTGCCTTCGCCACTGGGTACAACCCAATTTATATTTAGATTTATGCCTTAAAACATGGGTGTGAGAGTGGAAAATAATTTACACCAAATGAATTATGCATATGTATAGTCTATCTTAATCTTAGAACAATTTCTCCATAATTTAGATCCATTTTTAAATAAAATACCATATCACAAACAAAATAACAAATCAACATGTTCAATACAACATTTATAAACATCTAACATTCAATCGATTATACTTGAATCCAACAAATAACATCAATATTCATACTTTGAAAAACATCATAAATCTTTCTTTTGTCAATCAATCATTCCAGTCGGACCACTGGTTTCCCGATTTGACCGATTTCTTTATTATCGTTTTTGACCATCTCTTTATAGCGGTGATATTCCAGCCGGTTTGTGTCGTCCCAATACTAATTCATTCTGCTTGTGCCGGCCGACTTACCAGTGGATTGCAGAACCATGCTAAAACGCAACGTTAAAGTCGATGGAGGTACGTCGTCAAATCAACCCCGCCAACTTGTTTGCATGAAAACGGAACGTACTTTCTGGGATGCTGGCTGGGTAGCTGACTAGCTGTAACCTTGCTGTCATGCATGCATGGGTGCGTGCAACCCTCCCTGCTATTGTGAAATATTCTAGGCTAGGCTAGCTGATGAAGTAATGAATTACAAGCCCATCAATATCCCAAATTTATATATGTTACACCACCACATTCCACACCGTAAATCGTTGCGAGATTTCGTACACCTTTTATTTGTTCCCTAGCTAGCCATGTAATGTACACACATATATATGTTTGAATATTTGACCCCTATTACTCGACATATGGTCCTGAATTCTAGTGCAAATTCACATGCTCAATTGATAGTTACGTTGACACCTACAGTGGCGTCATCGTTATTAGTTTCTGGTTACGTCTGTACGTCATCGTTACTTACAATGTCGTTGATTGAGAATTATAATCTTTGGAATTGTTCTCGGGGTTGTTTGATGGATGTGCATCTAAATTATGTATTAATGAATGCATATACATATATATACTATACAAAATGTAATTTTGTTTTAAAATAATAAACAATGTATCTATTGACTGTTACTATGACGTTTAGTCACTTAAAATAAATTATTCAGACCTCGATTTTCTAGTCGTGATTAGATGTAGTTTCTTTGATGGGTTACTTTCAGCGTTGTAGCGACTTGCTGCCTGGTACTCGAATATTGGCTTGAGACATTTTCTCTATCTCTTCTTCCCATGAAAAAAGTTCTAGAAAACCTGTGTTGTCTGAATTATCTGAAGCCACTAAACAAACATAAAATCCTTGGGTATTTGTATGTAGATGGCTTTTTATGTCTATACAGAAGCTAAATGTTTTTCAATAAAAAAAAAACCAAGTTTACCGTATTTTATTTCTAAACGATACACAATCACAACCATCAAATATTATAATCTTAAAATAAATAAATTTAATTAAACAATTCTTGCCGAGTTGCATCGCTCGCAGCGTGTTCAATTGGAAAGTCCGGCAATGGCGCTTCAAACTCCTGTTTCAGGATCTTGAGGGTTACCAAACAAAGATGAATACGTGGGAATGCAATACTAACTTAATATAAACCAACTCTTAATAATCAATTGGATAGTATGAATTCACTCCCATCATCATCATGTGCTAATTAAAACAGTGGATCCAATCATGGTAGGCAAAGGAAAACATATATTACGAGGCATTTGTTAATGCCAAGAATTAAGGATCATTCTTATAATCCTTCATTTGTTAATACCAACTATTATATTCTTTAAATTTATTATAAATTTTATATGTAATTTTACCTCTATCCTTTCAAATTTGAGAGGAGATTAAAACATAACTCTTCCACTGCTCAGAGTAAGAAAGTATCT